CATGATATTCTTTATTGATCTATCCTTTCTGACTTTAAGTTAACAGTAATAACTCATTGACTCTTAAACAAAGATAATAACTCTAGCCAATCTGTAACCATAACTATTCATCACATTAGTATTCAGTGTAACAATATTTTCAAAATTAGATGGTCTTAATTACATAACTTGGATTAGGTGTTGCTGACCTTCGTTGAAAATTCAATATTACTATACAAAAAAAACTAACAAACTTACATATATTTGTACTTGCAGTTGTGCATCAACCCTGTTTACATTTTTTTCAGACTGTCCACATTTGGCAGTTGGAGAAGGAGCTTTAGCATCAACTAGAGACACAGCCTTTGGTACAAAAGTAACTTTCACTTGCCCTATTGGCCACGAATTCGACAATGGGGAGGCAAAAATTGAGACTCGGTGTATGCAGGGTGGTCACTGGAGTACAGGGCCTATTCCAGGCTGTCAAGGTAAATCTGAAATTTAACATTTTAATATTTTAAAGTTAATTCCTGCAAGTTACTTGCTGCTTTGTTGTAAATTATTTAAGATACCTAAATTGATCAGTACTGGAAAAACTTGCATTGTAAATGCAACTGCATTTGAATAATAGCAGAAATATTCCTGATATACACAAGCTCCTCATCTAAAGAATAGAGAAATCTTCTAGTGTTGTTAATAGTTAATAGTTTTTACTATTTTTGTTGGAGGTGAAGTTGTAGGAGGTTCTTTATGTGGTAATTCCATTTTTGGATTTTGCATGAGCAGGATTATGAATGCCAAGTGAGTGTGCTACCAACTGAGCTTAAGGATTAACCCAATAGCAATTACTAATAAGGCAATTTTCAAACTTTTAATCTATCACGTTTATATGGAAACTGACCAAGAAGAAAGCCCAATGTAATCTAAATAGAGAGTAATGATGTTCATTAGTATGAAACACTAAACATCTGTATTATTTTTCTCTCTAATTGTAATCTACTATAATTTTGAAGATTATTATGTTGTAGATGTACTTGTATGTTATTTGGTATGGAGGAAATTAATTGTTATTTTTTTAAGGAGAATATTGTCACGACTTGCTAGCAATTAACTCATGTACATAACTGTACCTGTAAAATTAGACTTAATTAACAGAACATGAAAATAGAAAAATATCTTTTTTTTATTTAAAAAAACAAGTTAACTCTAGATGTCCATCTTCATCTTAATCTGTTTGTTGGAGCTTGAAATCACAGGTGCAATGGGCAAATTATGAGGAATGTGGGAAAAATAAGTTGTAGTTAACTTGTTTTTATAACTATTTTTAAGCCTGTTGGTTTTCCAATATTTCACTACCTATCAACATTTAAACAAATAGTTTTTTTGTTTAAATGTTTCAAGCTGTAAAGATAATTTGGGATGTTTCTAATAAAAGCAAATTTTTCAAAATATATATATTTTGTAAGAAACTAGAGTTGCTTTTCTTTACTTTCAGAACGTTATTGTGGTTCTGTACCCCAGATTGATAATGGATTTGCTGTAGGAGCTACAAATGTGACTTACAGAGGTCAAGCTACTTACCAGTGCTATGCTGGCTTTGCATTCCCAAGTGGTAAACCTACAGAGAGAATCCACTGTGCAGAAGATGGTCAGTGGAGAAATCTACCAGTTTGCCTTGCTTCTTCTTGTCCACCTTTACCTGAGACTCCTCACACCTCTCAGTTGGTTCTTGATGGTGGTGGTCGTAGCTATGGTACTGTGATTCGCTTCAGTTGTGAGCCAGGCTACCGAATTATCGGAGTTCCTGTTATTGTATGTGCAACCAATGGCCAATGGTCAGCTCCACCCCCAAAATGTGAACGTAAGTTCCTACTTGCTTTATAGTAGCTTCTTATTTGTGCAATATTTTAAAAATCTAAATACACTAGGATGAGTTTGAAAACATACTGCAGTAACTATCAGTTTTATACAGAAGGTTTAATATTGATTATTTAATCATCTCTTTAGGTGTGCAGTGCCACATACTCCCAAACATCAAGAATGGATTTGTTGTAGAACCACAAAAGAATTATTTTTATGGTGATGAAGCGAGAGTTCAATGTCATCGAGGGTATAAACTTCAAGGAAGCACAGTCATTACCTGTGGGACTAATGAGACTTTTATTAGCTTACCTAAATGTGAAGGTAAACTTGTTGTTTTTTGCAAAAAAGTTTGAAAACGAATTACATGAAACTGAACCGTTCCTATTTTGTACAATTGCTGGAAGGGTTGTATAAATTTTAAGTAAACTTTTCAGTGAAGGAAAGAGGGTCATGGAAGTTTTAGGAATTTATGACTGAAAGAATTAAAAAAAAAAGTAATATGTCAACCACACTAACTATGTTATATACAGTACTAACAATTCCTTTAACAAACCGATGAAGTGATTGTAGGGTAAAAGTTACAAGAATAAAATTTACAATAAAATGTATATGCTGAGAAAGCTAATGGTTACACTAATGGATAGCAACAAATACATGTCATTCATGACATACATTAACCTAAACATTTATTGACCTTGATAAAATACTACTATCAAAAAAAAGAGAGAGATTATGAAAATCTTGAAACAATGTGCAAAAAATCGATAAAAAAAAGTATATGTATCTTTGTTTTGAAAATTGTTTGTAAAAGGAAACACAATCATAAAACCAATTCATAATTTAAAAATAAAATTTCTGTTATCATAGCTTTTAGTTTTATTTAAATATTTAGTCACAATGCAGTAAAATTAATTTGAAAGAGACAGTGGCAACAATACTCAAAAATCAACTTGAAGAAATGATACTAAAAATTATAGCTACTTATGAGGAATTAAAAAATTTAGACATGGTAAAAGGAGTGAAATTTAATATTTACCATGTACCACACAAACACATTTGTTTAGCTTTATCTTTTATTGTAACAATATGCCCCGTTTTTCTGGTTTAAAAAAAGATGGTTCATCTTAAGTTTTGCTTGTCTCTGAGAATATATGAATTCTGTGTCAGAGAACAGTAGGCATTATCAACCCCTGAGGATTTTTGGTGTAAAAATTCGGGTATTTTTTTATATTGGATTTCACCTTTATGCTAAATATATTAAACTTGGTTAATTTGGTTTATTAAATGCAAATTCTATGTTTTTTATTATAGCAAGTATTATTAATTCCAAAATGTGCAGTTAGATGTATTTCATAGTTAATTTGATGTCTTCCTTGTACATTTGTACATCTTTTCTGATTAATAAGTTTTTTATGTAATTATACTTGGAAACTAATTGAATGTACTTTAATTTTGTTAATTCTTATTATTAACTTTTGCTAGATGTTGATGAATGTTCAGATACTTCTTGTGACTCAGCATCTACTGTTTGTACCAACACTGCTGGAGGATTTTTCTGCAAATGTAAAGAAGGATTTGACCCAAACCTGGGTAATGTATATTATGCATGTGAAATTGTTTAAAGAATGTGGTTGAACAGGTAATTAAGAAATGTTGACCGTTTAGCCTCCCGGATCTGCACTGAATATGTTACCACATTATGTTTAAGTTTTGTTTATTGACCTTGTTCTGTTTTATAGTTTTGACATAAGCAGGCTCAAAATACAAACATTCCCATTCTTCCTGTAAGATCTCGCAGCACTCCTTGGGGTAGAAAGAGGTGTTGTTTTTGTTTTTTTACCCTATGCCCATTTGATTAAACCAAATGCACTCATTTACTGCTGTGAATGTTATTTCTGTAGTGCTTGTATTATCAACATAACAGTTTAACAGCTACTAGTGTTCATTAACATTGTATTTGGCTTATTCAGGTCAAATTATCATAACTAGCAGAATCATTGCCCTACAGATGGCTGTTCATGCTAGTAATTACTAATCATAGTATTCGTACATCATTGAAAAAATTTTAGAAAAAGTGAACATTTTCTAAAAGATTTTTTTTCTGGGAAGTACTGCAAGGAAAAGGTATTGGGATTGTCATACACAACTCATTGCATCAAAATGTTTCAATTTACAGAGCTCAATTTTAATAAATTGAGTAACATACATTGTAATGTTTTTATATATTAAGTGGTGCTGTTTATTGTAGTTTCTCAGTACTACATTTAAAAATTACATCAATAAAATAATATAATCAAACCCTCACATACAATCCTAGTGAAAGTCATGTTCTTGTTGTGAAGAGTGCTTTTATTTAAAATTGTGTTCTATTATAAAGAAATGGTTGTTGCACTGTTATTTTTCTAATTGTTTGAATCTTGAATACTCAGTGTGATATTTTTTTATGGATTTTCTTTTGTGGTGCCATTCAAAAGATGGTACAGGAGTTTTGGTTACCTTAATGTAAACTTTTATCCTTGTCAATAAGTTTATCAAAAAATATCAGAACCAAGGTTTAGACTTTTATAATTTATTTCTTATTCTAACATTCTGATTATATTTTATGTTTTTTGAATAATAATTACACGTGATAATACTAAATGGATTGTTTATTATTTTTCACAAAACAGACTGTCGGCCAGTTGGAGATCTTGGTCTAAGTAGTGGAACGATTCCACTCGACAGCATTCGATCTTCGGGTACTGAAGCTCGATACAACAATGATGTAAGTAAAACTTCCTCAAGTTTTTAGACTGTGTTCCTTGTCTGTTTAGTTAGCCCCATTTCATATTCAGTTGATATTTTAAAATATGCTTGATTGATAGTTTCATGAATTGGTTTTATAACTTGCATGTAATATTACACACTGTAAGATATTGTTGAGTAATATACTTTAATAGATATAAAATAAAATGAGTGATTAAATTTTTCTCTGATTCTATATTGCCTTCTGCAATTCACATATGAATATTCTGTCAGTTTTTGTGAAACCCCATGGACTGCAAAGTGTTTGTGCAAACTGGTGATTGAAAAACACTGCTCTAAATGATATGTTTTAATAACTGATCAGACATATAGGCAGTGTTCCCTCAGTAGGGTCGATGGTCTAAAATATCCCCCCCCCCAACCCCCAAAAAAAAGAAAAAAGGTAGTGCACATCTGCACATTTCCTTGGTACTATGCACAAGGAAAAATTCATTTTGCATGTGGATTGAAAAAAATTAGAGGAACACTACTTGTATTAAGGACCATAAAAAAATCTTAGTTCATTTTATTTTTTAAACTTTTTAATACTGATTTTTATGTTTAATAAAATGATTTAGGTAATTGCATTGTAGTAATAATCTTGCTTAAGTTATTTCTGAACTAGATGATTTGTTTCATATTTTTTACAAACTATGGTATAGTAAAATAACACATTGTCTTTTTGTATTTGTATTCAGCTATGTCGATCATGGAATGTTTAATTTTAGTTATTTGTCAGATTATCCCTAACATTATATAGACAGTTGTTTGATAATTAAGGTTTAAAAATCTTAGGGTGTACGACTAGATAGTCCTGTTGGCTGGTGTGGTAATGTTCCTAGAGAAGGCGAAAACTGGATTCAAGTTGATCTTCAAGCTCCAACTGTTGTGCGAGGCTTTCGCACAAAAACAGTTCTTCGTCATGATGGATCTCAAGCTTTCCCTCTTACTGTTACACTGCAGTATACTAATGATTTGACAGATATATTCAGGGATTACAGTAACTCTGAAGACCAGGTATGTGGTCAAAATTGTAAATATGTGCTCATAATTATAGTAAAGTTGTTTTAAGCTTTACTTGTTTGTGATATATTGTTATTAAATAGAACTTTGTTTAATGTTTAAACGTTTAAATTATAATTTCTTGAAACTGAAAATTTTGAAATTGCTTTCAAAACATGGAGAAAAATACAGTTGAAGATAAAAGTCATTCAACCAAACAATTAATATTAAATTAATATTGTTTTGTTATTTAACTTTTTTCTTTTAGCCAGCACATTTTCGATTGAATGGTAATGGAGGTTCAGGTGTGTCTGTTGTAAACCTTCCACTCCCATTGGAAGCACGATATATTCGTATAGTTGTCATGGAATATGTAACAGCTCCTTGTTTGCAGCTTGAATTAATGGGCTGCTCACGACAGGAATGCTTAGGTAACTATATTTCCCTTGAGGAAACTAATCATAATCTATTTTTACTTTACTCATAGATAATACTCTACTTAATAAGTAGTCCATGTCAAGGCTTAGTCTCTATTTTAAGTGAAATATGTTTATTCACTAACTCTTTTTTTTTTTCTTAGTATCTACTTATTTCATACTATTCTTTCCATTTTATGACTTAATTCTGTGATAAGTCTAGTCCAAGTAAGTGCAAAAAACTTAAACTTACATTTATATACGCATTGTGATACTACTGGAATAGAGTCTTCAATTCTTCTGTATTTAAAACATTAAAAGTTAGTTTTGTCAATAGAGATTTTCATTTTAATTATTCTATATGTTACAGATAGAAATGAGTGTTCAAGGAACAATGGTGGGTGTGATCAACAGTGTGTCAATAAACCTGGCAATTTCAGCTGTTTATGTAATACTGGCTATGAACTTTACTCTAAAAATGGTACTGCTGGTTTCTATATTCCACACAGTGAAACTGGGCTCAAGGATAGAGATGTTTATACGATAAACAAGACCTGTGTTCGTAAGTTGCTTCTGCAATATTGCAGCATTTAAATTTGATTGTGATTTGTGTTACAAAATAGCTTATAAATTACTAATTAAAAACAAGAATTCTCCAGCTAACATTAAATTCATCGGTTAGTTTTTGTAATGTCAAACTAATTAAATTCTTTAGATTGAGGTGTAAATTAATTAGTTAAGATATTTAACTTGATTTATGTAGTTAGATGCCAGTTACAGGCTGATCCTTTTTTTTTTCTCTCTCCAAGTTCTTAATGTGTTATTAAATTTTCATCATATCTTGTTATTTCATATTATTGTGCAGTATTTTAACTTGTACAAATGCTTGGGATACTTTTGAAAAATGTACTTCTGTACTAATAGTTAGTGAATTACCATTTATTAGTTGAAAATAGCATAAAACTTTACATCACTCATGTATATTTAACAAATTGTCCATACTTACATGATGGTAAGCTTACATTTGGGAATGAGATTTTTAAAAGTGTAGAACAAATTTAACTAAAATAGAAAACAGTGATTCATAATATTAGAATTAATTTTAAAAAACATTTTTCAGCCAAAATGTGTCCAACTTTGACAAATCCAGATAATGGGTTACTGTTGACAACCAAATCTGTATTTCATTTTGGTGACATTGTTAGCTTTCATTGTAACTTTGGGTATGTACTGGAAGGAAGCTCTACTCTTCTCTGTACCAGTAGTGGTGCTTGGAATGGAACAGCTCCATTGTGCAATTGTAAGTGTTTCAACTGTTTTTCTTTAGTTTTGTTTAAAGTGAATTGCATAAATATTTATTATTTGCACATTAATCTGTTTATCCAGTTTGAAATGTTAGGATGTTTTTTATGCACATAAATACAAATGTGTACTAAAACAACCTCTACTACTTGAGTTGTAATAATGTTACATTATATTTCAGAACTTCAGTGATATTTAAACGTACTTTAGTGCTCTTAAGATGTAAAGTATTATTTGTTTTTTTCCAAATATTGACATACTTGTCTACTTGATTCAGTATACAAAATAAAGTAGATTTCAAAAGACCTAGAAGCTCAAACACTTTAGTTTAATTTACTATTCTTCTTTCTTAGATATTGATGTATTTTAAAAAAATGTCAAATACGTACATCAAAGTGAATGTTAAAATCATATTTTCTTTAATTAAGTGAAAAAAAATCTCTTAATAAAATATTTAAATTTGCATCTTAATATATTCTGTCAGAAACCTTGAACTGCTCTTGTAGTAAAGAAACATACTGTTTCAAAACTAAACATGACAAGTGTTTGTTGTTAAGATTTTTTTATTTATTTTCAGACGCTCAATGTACTGCACTAGCAGATGACCCAGAACAAGGGCTAGACATAAAAATCAAAGAAAACACAAGCTTTGTGCCTTTCTTAGAAAATGTTACCATTTCTTGTGGTGAAGTTGGTAGGCCATTGCATGGCTCAGCTACAGCAAACTTTAGACAGTGTGTTTATGACCCTCAAGAAGGTAGTTCAGACTATTGGCTTTCAGGATCCCCACCAACTTGTCCAAGTGAGTAAACATGTTGGTATAAATATTTTATTGTAGTTTGTGGTAATATGAGTTTTCATAATCAATACTTCATATATGAAGTTGAAATAAAAAAAATAATAATAATCTCATAATTACCAAATAGTTCAAGTTGGTTATCATGGCCCTCTTGTGGCTCAGTAGTAAGTCTGAAGGCTTATAACACTAAAAAACCAGGTTTTGGTACCTGTGTTGGGTACAGCGCAAATAGCTCATTGTGTAGCTTTTGTGCTTAACAACAAACAAATAAATGGTTATGACGTGCAACAAAAAAGGGAAGAAATAAGCTGGTATATTTAGATAACTTGCATCTGTAAAACATATACATTGAGTATTTTTTTATAGAAATATAGTGACGAGTGAACTTGTAAACTAACAAATTTTGAGTTGCATATTTGTTATTAATAGGAGCTTCTGAGTACTTCCTAGATTTATTCAAAAATTCATAACTTTTATCAAAATATAAAGCAGTTCCGTAAGAGCTTAAATTAGCCCTAAATATGGCAAAATGATAGGAACTGTGAATAATACATGCATCTATTAGGCAATTTTTGGATTTCAGTTTGAGTTTATTTCATTGTACATTTTTCCACTCATTTTTATCTTTCATCTTCTCTTACAATTGAATAGAATTTTTAAAGCACATTTTTCTTTAGACCTGGTTTCACGTAACATATCTTTCAGTATTTATTTAGAAGTTGCTCTTTTTCAAATGCATTTACTTTTTACTGCCTTTCCATATTTCTAAATACTTTTTATACATTTATGTATAAGACCATTATTTGAATAGTTGAAATTGTTTTCTTCAGTTTTGTGTAATTACATATATACATAAGCATAATCAAACTGTCAATATTCGCTTTCTGAGTCAGTCTAAATATTGAGCTGTGAAATACTCTTTTATTTATGTAGATACTTCCTAATTTTTTCGTTTAGTAGAGTGATATGAATATCATTCAGTTAATGAAAAGAAATTATTTATCATTATAAAGTACAGTTGATTTCATTTATAAAGCTGTAATTACTAAGTAACCAATGAAATAAACAGTTGAGGATCACTGCTAAAACCATATTTTTAAGATTCTATCTCTTATATGCTTTTCAATTATTTGCAGGAATTAATTGTGGTCATCCACCAAATACAACTGGTGCTGCATATGGGTTTTATGTTGACACTCGTTATCGTGCTAGTTTTTACTTTGGTTGTGAGGAAACATTTTCACTGGCTGGTAAAACAAACATGAATGACAATGTGATCAGATGTCAGGAGGATGGTACATGGGATTTTGGAGACATTCGCTGTGAAGGTACTCTGTTGTGTTTTTTAAATATATAAATGTAATCAGTTATAAAGAATTCTCTATAAAATCAATGAAATCACATTTTATCTCCTGAATAACGTTCATCTGCAATTATTAGGTTTAAAGTAAGACTGTAAGATATGTGGTATTTATATTTTTTAAATAAATTATTAATAATAACTTTTAACCACTTTGTTATCCTTTTTTTTTAATCTGCAGGACCAGTATGTTTGGATCCAGGCAGGCCACCTGATGGAATGCAGAAAGCAGTAAGCTATGAACAAGGCTCACATGTAACCTTCTCCTGTGACAGACCAGGCTATGTACCTTATGATACAAAACCTATAACATGTGTAAAAGGTGAGGATCTTCTTCAAATCAAACTGGGATTTCATACAACACAGACCCAGTTATACAAAAATAAAATATCTTTTGACCATTCTACATTCCATAAAAACTAAATGTAATAGTTTGTAAAAAATAAGCTCTAATGCCTGGCCAGTCTTCAATGTATTTCTTAATGTAGAAAAAGAAAGGATAACTTTGTCAAAGGAAAGTAATAAATATTATTTTTTTAAATGTGCTGAGGTGTAATACTTGTTCAAAATATAACTTGCTCTAAGGATACTAATAACACATCATTACACTTTCACTATACATCCCTCTTCAAGAAGACTCTGTATTGTGATTGATTGAGACTGAAGTTGTTTTTTTACATCCACACACAAAAAAACTAATCTTTATAATGATTTTCTGGATAGCAAGAAACGATAATGATGGATTTTTTCAAATTGTGCTTTTTTACTAGATGTTTGTTATAGTTTGAAGCCATATTAAGAAATGATGTAATTTTCATTAAGTACTTTGAAAAATTAAACAGGTGCTGATTGTAAGGTTATAAAACCTTTGGGAATTGCTTCTGGATCAACACTCAACTTTGCTATCAATGCCACTTCACAGAGGAGCAATTATGAAGTGACAGTAAGTGCCTAATTAATCATTTTTTGCAAACATATTTACAATACTAACATAACATAATAACATTATGTTTTGGGTCAACATGGGACCTAATTCCATTTTGGCTGTTCCATCCTCTAAACTAAATTAAAATAATTTTTAAAAAATCTTAAAGCCAACCCTTATCATTCATATACTTATCAAGCTTATTCTTAAACTCACTTAAATTTACTGCCTCTTCAACATCTGAAGGCATCTTATTCCAAAGATCAAACCACCCTGTTAGAAAAATGAAACTGTCTTAACTGAAGATGACTCCTACCTTGCCAAAATTTATATTTGTGTCCCCTAGTCCTATTATTCTCACTTTTAAATATGACACATCGAATCCCTTTACAATCTTAAACACCTCAACCAGATCCCCCTCACCCAAGTCTTCTTGTTTCAAGAGAAAACAATTTGAGATATTTCAGCCTCTCCTCATATGACAACCTCTCCATCCCAGGCACCATTCTAGTAACCCTTCTCTAAAACCTTTCCAACAATTCAATGTCTTTCTTAAGGTAAGAAGCCCAAGACTGAACACAATATACCAAATGTGGCCTAAACAGTGACCTGTAAAATGAAATTGTAACATCTTTAGACTTGTATTCAACCTAAAATCCTATTTGTCCTACCATTAGCAACAGCACACTGCTTGGATGGCTTTAGAGACTGATCAACCACTACACCAAGATCCATTTCTTTCATGACACTGTTAAGGTTATTTCCATCCAAATTATACTTATAATTCAAATTATGATAACCCATATGCATTATCTTGCAATTATTATAATTATAACTCATCTGTCATATATTTGCTCAATGATCTAAATCCTTTTGTAAATCGGTAGCATCATCATCACAGCTAGCAACACCCAAGAACTTAATATCATCTGCAAGGTTAAATAACTTACTGACTATTCCTTCATCTATGTCATTGATGCAAATCAAAAAGAGTAAATGTCCTAAGATAGAGCCCTGAGGTACCCCACTTTTTATGTGGCACCTTGTCAAATGCTTTCTGAAAATCCATACTCACCAAATCCACACCCTTACCCTCACCTACATAAGCAGTAACCTTTTCAAAGAATCTCGAAGGATTTGTAAGGCAAGATTTTCCATTACTGAAACCATGTTGACTATCCAATAAGAT